CTAGCGCATGCCTGCGCACACGTACCTCGCATCACAGCGGCCCAATCAGGGTTGCATGCGATCGTGGGCACGTCGTGGTTCAGCCACGGCGTGCCCATCAACAGCAAGATACCCTGCCACCGAGGCAAAGAGCTGCCCAGCTCAGCTCCTCTGCGGGGAATCTTGGCTGTGGCCACACTTTCCCCGCAGAGGAAGCCGGGCCGCGAAACTGAAGGGGTCTCGGGCGAGGGCTTCATACGGCCCTCATTGTCAACGTTTGGTTCAGTTTCTTTCGTTCGTTTGGCCTGCCTTGGCCATGGCGGGCCTTTCAGGCACGCATTTCTTGTTCCGCCGCCAGCCTGCTGCTAGAGAAAGAACCCGCCAAGACACCAGTGACTGGTCTCAATGGCAGAGGCGCCCTGCGCCCGTCCCTCAGTCACAACCAGTAGCGCCTCCCATTCCTCCAACACCTCCTACGCCTCCTACCCCTCCCGCTCCCCCGGCGCCTCCGATTCCTCCCGTTCCTCCGTCCCCTCCTGACCCGCCTGCTGTTGGTGTTCCGCGACAGGGGGTTCTGCAGCTTCTCCTCCCCCCTGGCTACTCGGCGTTCGACGCCTTCCTGTCCGAGCCTGACCGCAGCGGCGGCGAAGGATCTTCCTCCGCACCGGAGCCACGGTGGGGAGCCCCGGCTGATTGCCCGTTGGACGAATCCGCTACCGGTGCCGACGACGACGTGGAGTTCTGGGCTGCTGACGGTCTCCCCGAGCACCTTCCAATTCCCTCTTTTCCTCCTCCGAATAAGAAAAGGCCTCACCCATCTCGCGATAATCGTGATGCCCGTCCTCCCTCCCCCAGGCACAAGCCGTCAACTCACAAGCGCAACAAATACACGTCGCAGGAGAAGCTGCAATGGATTCTGAAGCTCGAAGCCGGCGACATGAGTGTGCGGCGCATGTCTCGCGAATCCGGCATCTCCCGAAGGTGCCTCACGGAGTGGAAGAACCGCAAGGCTGAGCTTGAGGGCGCGCACGGTGCACGATGTCGCCTGCACGGCCGCGGAAGGAGCTCGTGGTATCGCGACATGGAAGCGGAGGTGTACCGTCGGTTTCTCGCCCACCGCAAAAAGTGCCTCGCCGTCTCCATCGCACGACTTCAAAAGTGGTCGCACGAGGTGATGAAGGAGCTACACCCAGGTGAAAAGTGGGCCGGCTCTCAGCGGTGGACTCAGCGATTTCGCCGCCGCTGGAACCTGACGACCAGAGCGAAGACCCGGGTCGGCCAGAAGCTCTCGGCAAGTGAGTTTCATGGCCGTGTTCATGTGTCAATGTGCTCTCGATACACGATTCTTACTCTGTGTTTGTGCTTTCTGTTCCTCCCATCCCGTGTCCCAGACTGCGAGGATGAAGTGAGGAACTTCTGGGCGTTCGTGCGTCACTCCCGCCGCCAGTACCGAATCGAGCTGCCGTGGATTCTAAACGCGGACCAAACGCCACTCTGGCTCGAGATGCCATCCGAACGCACCGTTGAAGAGGTTGGCGCGCGCTCCATCCCCGTCCGCAGCGGCGGCTACCAGAAGGAGCGGGTCACAGTCATGCTCGCCTGCACCGCCAGCGGGGAAAAACTGAAGCCGTGGGTCTTCTTCAAAAGGAAGACCGTCCCGAAAGGAGACTTCCCTTCAGGTATGCACCACACGTCGATTGCGCCGTGGCATGTGTGTTTATAAATTTTCTCTAACATGGTGGTTTTGGTGTGCAGATATCCACGTGGGGGTCCATCCCAACGGGTGGATGGACGCGGACGGGGTCATCGAGTGGCTTGACGGGGCGGTGAAGCCGTACATCAACCCCAAGTTCGGAGTCCGCCCCAAGAAGGTTCTGCTCGTCCTCGATTCGTACCGCGGGCACCTAACCCCGGAGGTGAAGAAAAAGTTTGGCGAGCTCAACGTGGTCCCTGCGGTCATCCCTGCTGGCTGCACCTCGGAGGTTCAACCCCTCGACGTCGCGGTTAACCGCTCCTTCAAGGCCGCCGTCCGCCAGCTCTACCAGGAGTGGTTTGAGCGTGAGGGGGTCGACAGCCTGACGAAGAAAGGTGAGATGTGCAGCCTGTTAGTTTGTGTTTCCTTTGTTTAACTCCCTCTAACTTTGTTTCTGGATTTGCGTGGCAGGCAACATCAAGAAGCCTCCTGTCGAGCTGACGCTCAAGTGGATCTCGGCGGCCTGGAAGTCCGTGCCCAAGGAGCTCATCCAACGGGCGTTCCTCACCTGCGGCATCAGCAACGCCCTGGATGGGTCCCAGGACAAGCTCTGCCTGCAACACAGGCGAGATGAGCTCGAGGGCGAGGAGGTCGACATGGATGATGAAATTGCAGCAGACGGCTTCTTCTGCAACAACGTGGAAGAGCCTGAGTCGGACTCTGACGCCGACCCAGATGACCCCACTACGGCAGATGATCTGCGAGGGTAGATAGAAAATGGTCAAGCCTATGTGAGGCTTGTAGGTAGAAGTACATGAGATGTAAATTGACTATTAGATGTTAAAATAGTGAAAAAAAATGTTTAGATGTAGGTAGATTTGTTTAAATAGTGTTAAAAAGATGTTTAGATGTAGATTTAATATTGTTAGATATCTTCAAAATATAAAAACACTAAAAACAAAGGGGGGCGGTTATAATGTGTACAGCACAGGTATGCGGTTATAATCTGTAAGCCTTTTAGGTATGCGCTTATAATCGAGCACCGGATATAAGCGCCGGGCGCCGATTAAAAGCGCCAGGCGCTTATCCGCGGGTGGCGCTTATATCCGGGGTATGACGGTATGACAGCAGTCCTGTTCACATGGTGTAGGAAATCAGTGTTTGAGCTTCACTGTTCTGCATTGTGACACGACGGATTACGCCGCATAGAAATTTGTGCAGTAACAAGAACTGGAATTGAATACCCCTAATGCCATGCATTAGAATGTCAGAATCCCAGCCACTAACCACTGGGATAGAAGGGCTTGTTTGTGTAGCGGGTGAGTGCGCCCATAACCCCCCAGGCCGCCATGCCTGTAACCCTTCCCTAGGATCAATCGGGGATCACCAGTGGACCTCTGACACCCCCCCGCACTGGGATGCCCGAGGTGCACACACCGGGATTCGAACCCGAGACCTTCGCTCTGATACCATGTCAGAATCCCAGCCACTAACCACTGGGATAGAAGGGCTTGTTTGTGTAGCGGGTGAGTGCGCCCATAACCCCCCAGGCCGCCATGCCTGTAACCCTTCCCTAGGATCAATCGGGGATCACCAGTGGACCTCTGACATAGAAACCCTCATGGAATTGGTACAACGTATGTCCACTTGGGTGTCTTCATAAGGATGCTACTTTGGAGGGAGTGGGGTTAGTGGAGCTAAAGCAAGCAGGCGGGGCAGCAGCAGCAGTCAGTCAGCCTGCATGGCACGCAGAATGGCGCCGCGATCAAACTTGAAGTTGGTCCATTCGGAACAGGAAGGAAGCAGAGGAATGGCCGCTGCTGCAGCTGCTGCTGCTAATGATGCCGGTGGTTCTGCTGCTGTTGTTGCTGCTGATAACGTTGATGGCGTGTGCTGCTGCTGCAGATGTAAGCTCTGCCGCGGGAGAGTGCCAGCTGGCAGCCTGAGGATTCCCGCCCGTGCGCCACCTGGCAGGATCCCAGACGATGCTGACGTGGCAAGGGGGGAGAATCGGCGGGAAAGAGCTGCTTCCGGGCTGCGGCCATGTGGCGCGAGGAGACTGGATGGCGGAGAGAGGAAGGGGATGCGGTGGGAATGTGTGGGACTGCAACGGTGGTGGCTGGGATGGTGGGATGATGGGAGTGGGAAGCAGCAGCGGGGGGAGGAGCAGCAGCGGCAGCAGCAGCAGCAGGAGCAGCAGGAGCGCCAGAGGGAGCAAGAGAGTGGGATGTTTGGGGAGAGGCGGGAAGAACGCTGCTGGTCTTCCAGACGGAAATGATGCTCCCTGGGACGTTCTGTGGCATCATGTGCACTGCTAGCTGCCGCGTGTTGGGCGTGTGATGGCGGTCTATCCACTCGAGGAGAGGCCTGAAGTGTAGTGGGAGGGAAAGGGCAGGAGACGGAAAGCAGGTCGAGAGATGGTCCACACAACACAAGAGCACGCATCATGTGCACTGCTCGTTGCCGGGTGTCAGGCGTGTGGTGGCGGTCTATCCACTCCAGCAGGGGCCTGGTGGGTGAAGGGGTGGGGATGGGTGTGGAGTGATGGGGTGGGACGGGTAGAGGGCGAGGGAGTGGCAGCATGGTCAGGCAAGTCAGGTGTGTGGTGGCGGTCTATCCACTCGAGCAGGGGCCTGGTGTGAGGCTCGTGGGCGGGATGGATGGAGAGATGGAGGAGAGATGGCAGCACGGTGGGATGGAGGGATTCAAAATGCAACAGGCTCACTCACACACACCCACACACCCATGCACCCACGCACCTGACAAACGGCTGCACCATGAAGACCTTGGCTCCGCTGACTGTGCGAGAGACTGGCGAGAGTCAACTCACGGATGAGGTGTATCACACAAGTATACAAGCACTGACTAAGTTCCTGTGCGCATTGTCACACAAGCACCGCACCACACCCGCGCACCTGACAAACGGCTGCACCATGAAGAGCTTGGCCCCGCTGACTGTGCGCGAGACTAGCAGGACTCTTCACAAACTGATGTGCATGAGGTGAACTGAACAAATATACAGGCAACCTCGCAACCATGGTCACAACTCCTCACGCACCTGACAAACGGCTGCACCATAAAGAGCTTGGCGCCGCTGACTGTGCGCGAGACTGGCGGCGCTCCGTCGCTCTGCGCTGTGGCCAAGTCACACACGAGATGCCACGCGATCTCCTGAGAAAGAGGAAGGGAGAGGGGAGAGGGGAGAGAGCAGTGAAAGAGAACCAGTGGTGGGATCAATTTATAGTATAACAGCTTCGACCCAGCCCAACCCAACCCAGCCCAGCCCAACCCAACAAAGCCCAGCCCACCCCAAACCAGCCCACCCCAGCTATGCTGCTACAGACATCAGTTCTAATGCACAGCCCCACCCATCCCAGCCACTCACGCTGATTTCTTTCACTGTCTGTGGTTGAAACACTGCCGTGTGCGAGTCAACCCCCGTCACCACAAACAGCCGCTGCCGCTGCTGCTGCTGCCCTGCCACCACCTCTAAGTATTCAGAAGAATTTACCAGAAAGGAGATGTCAAATCCAGTTTCCTCCCACACCTGCGATGGGAGAGCAAAACAGGCATTGATCTCTCACACCGACTTTAGCAGGAGCAAAGGAGCAAAGAAGGCAATAATCAGTCGAGTTTTGAGTCGACTCAAAACTCATCTCTCACACCGACTCAGGAGCAAAGGAGCAAAGAAGGCATTGATCAGGCAAAGGGAAACAAGAGGATGTGAAGAAATGCTGCTGCCGCTGCTGGTGCCATTGGCCTGCATCTGTCTCCTTGAGCCACTTCTTCTCCTTATTCCTCTGGTCCAGCACACACAACCTGCACCATCCTAACCACCCACCAACCCACACCCCTCCCTACCCAACCTAACCACCCACACCCCTCTCTACCCAACCTAACCACCCACCCACACCCCTCTCTACCCAACCACGCACCCACCTCCCTGACTGCTGCCTCTGCATCTGTCTCTTTAAGCCCCTGCTTGCAACACATAGAACCTGCGCCAACCCAACCACCCACCTTCCCAGGTACCCGCCCTCCCCAGGTACCCACCCTCCCCAGGTACCCGCCCTCCCCAGGTACCCGCCCTCCCCAGGTACCCACCCTCCCCAACCACTCACCTCCCCAAGTACCCACCTGCCCCCACGGCACCCACCTCCCTGACTGCTGCCACTGCATCCGTTTCTTTAAGCCCCTTCTTGCTCTTGACCTCTAAAGAAGCACACACACCCTCCGCTCACCATCCACCCACCTCCCTGACTGCTGCCTCTGCATCCGTCTCTTTAAGCCCCTTCTTGCCCTTGGGAAAGCCCCAGCTCGCGGAGGCTCGCCACCCTTTAACGAGTATGCACTGTAGCAGCACGGCAGGGGAGCAGTGGAAGAGGGGGAAAGCAGAATTGGTGAACCAGTGACGACGAGTAAACAATGTGGTAAGCTTACATAGATTACTGCAGGTGGCACGCAGGTTGTTGTGTGCCGCAGGTTCCAGATTAGAGCGAAGAGGATGGCACAACTGACTGAACGAGGGGATTGATTGAACAATACAAGGTAAACGGAAAATCAATTGTTAAGAGAGAAATTGCTGTCTGCGTGTGTTTTTTTTTTAAGAATCGGAAGTAGGAGTACCCGAGTCATTGATTGGTCGAGGATGATTGCCCCTGTAACAGGCACTTTGAACTTATAGGTGGTGAACTCGTTATAGATGTCATTCACTCGCGCAGCATAGGGCTTGAGAGCCACACAGCGCTGGAACACTGATGGTGAGGGGGGGGGGCAGAGAAGGGGGAAAGGTGGGGCAGGCAGGTGGGACAAGGGGGACAGGCACTTTGAACTTATAGGTGGTGAACTCATTATAAATGTCATTCACTCGCGCAGCATAGGGCTTCAACGCCACACAGCGCTGAAACACTGCCAGGGGGGTGAGCGAGAGCGCCCACAGGGTGAGGTAGAAGGGAGTGGTTGGGAAACAGGGCAATGGCGGGTTTGGGTTGAATGAGCGCAGTGGTGGCAGAGAGGAGAGAGGGGAACAGCGTGAACGACAATCAACGCGAGCGGGGAGATACTACAGAAGGACAGAGAGAGAGGGGACAGAGTGAAGAGAGAGCGAGGGAAGGCCCACACACGGAGGTTGGTGAAATCGCGGAGGGTGAATGAGCGCAGAGGTGGCGTGTGCCGCTCGCGACACTTGTCCTCGTAGAACCAATGCGCCTGCCACGTCAGCACGCAGCACGCCGTGCCACGTCAGCAGCACTGTCAACCGTCGTGAGCAATAGTTATTGGTAGTATGCAACAGCACGCAATACAAAACGGTGCTAGTATGCAACAGCACGCAATACAAAACGGTGCTAAGCGGTGCTCAACGATACCAAGCGGTGCTAAACGATGCAGGGCGGCACGAACCTGTTCGATGGAAAAGAGCATGCGTTCAAACGACTGCAGGTCCTCCCCTGGTACGTTGAAGACGAAGCGACTGATGGTAAAGAGACGGAGAGGGGGAGGGGTGAGGGAGAAGGGGGTGACTGTGGAAGCAGAAGGGGGAGAAAGGGGGGGTTGCATGCGCTCAAACGACTGCAGGTCTTCCCGCGGCACGCTGAAGACAAAGCGACTGGTGGGAAAGCCAGAGAAGAGGGCGGGGGAGGGAGAAGGGAGACGTATTTGTAGGCCTCCCCAGCCACGTCGCACGGCTCGTAAAGCTCGCGAACGTCGTGAAGATCGCAAACGTCGCAAGGAGTCGTACAGGCGACTCGCCTACCTGCAGAGGTCGTCCAGAAGCTCCTGCGACGGGAACCCCGCCCGCGGGGCCGCCGCTGTCGCTGCCGCCATGCGGCTAGGTCCCCGTAACGGAACGCTCTTTACTGCGAATAATATTCCGCGTCGGAAACGGAGTGCGTGTAATCAATCGACCACGTCGCGAACATATGCAGCGACCTTTTGGACTGGCCTCCGCGATACACGAGCGGCTACGCTTGCTCGTTACGAACGTACTTATTCTCCTTGTTCGCCACGAATATATTCATTCTCTAAAAAAGAGACGTTCTCCTACAGCTTCCGGGCTACTTCATCAAACCACCAGTACATCAGCTAGGTGGAGAAGCGGCCATTCATTTCCCAAAACCATGGCACTTTCCGTAGAAAAAAAAGTAAAAGCAGCTGCGAAGAACATCATCGACCCGTGTACCCTCAACTGGAGAGCTGCGACATTTCGCGAACTGTTACAATTCGTTAATGTGGCCCAACTGGCACTTGCGAGCTGAGAAATGCCTGTGACGGCGATAACAATTTCCCTCATGTTCGAAACCACTCAAATCGTCAACGGTAACCAATGCATCGCATTCTGTCGCCATCCCACACAAATGAGCCCCAAATATACCTCGAAGTTCACTTTTGTATCACAGTAAAATCTCCGTGGTATAAGGTGGCAAGGCGCAACGCCTCAGAGTCTACGCAATGCAGAATCGAAGTGTGTTTTGAGTCGACTCGAATCGAAACACACCAGAATCCAGGGCGATGCACAATCGACATAACATCGACGATTAATAAGTAGCCAAGGTCATCTGGAGGAAATCGACGGACGACAAGGAACATCCCTGCGATTCTAGAAGCCGTCGATTCACAGCAAGGACGAATCCTGGCCATGGATCCTACCACGATCGTCAAGGCAGCCAATCCGTGGGTGCCACATGGACGCGTGGTGGATGAGAAGCAGAAAGTTCTGCGAACCGTGCAGGGGTACGTACGGGCGCTGGATTGTACCCGTTATAGACTGGGGCGAGTTTAATGAGGTGTAACAAGGCACATGGACCCTTCCTCCGTTCCCCTTCCCCATTCCTCCTTCCGTTTCGCCCTGTGCCGCTCTCGCTGGAATGTTCGATCCGCTCTTTAGGCTCTGAGACGTCTCATCTTCCCCCGCCCTCTTCCCTCCCCCTCCACAACCCCTTCTCCCCCTTCCCCATTCCCTCTTCCCCCTTCCCCCTCCGCAGCATTCTCAACAAGCTCACACCTGAGACGTTCGAACCGCTTTTTCAGCAGCTCCTGACAGCTGGCATCAACACACCTGAGATCCTCCAGGTGATTCTAACAGAGCAGGCATGTTTCATCCCCAAAACCCCAACCCCTCCCCCCTCCCCCATCCCCGCCCCCCTTACAATTGCATTGATATCGTTAATTACTAAGGTAGTAGACGAACCCACCTTCTAGAAGCCAGTCCATTCGCCTCTTCTCTCTGCTTTCAGCTGAATGTACACTTCACATCAACTAAACCCCTCTTCTCCCCCTCCCCTCTTTCGCCCCTCCCCTCTTCCCCCCCTCCCCTCTTTCCCCGCTCCCCTCTTCCCACGCTCCCCTCTCACCCACCTTCTCCCTCCCGTCACCTCACCCCCTCTTCTCTCCACCGCCCTCTCTCAGGGAGTGATTAGATTAATTTTCACCAAGGCAGTAGACGAACCCACCTTCTGCCCCATGTATGCTGCCCTCTGCGAAAAACTTTCACGAGCGCTGCCCGAGTTTCCGCCGTCCACCGGGGCAGGGGGGGAGGGAGGGGGCGCAGGGGAAGGGGGCGCAGGGAAAGGGAGCGCAGGGGAAGGGAGCGCAGGGGAAGGGAGCGCAGGGGAAGGGAGCGCAGGGAAAGGGAGCGCAGAGGAAGGGGGCGCAGGGGAAGGGGGGGGTGAGCCGATCTCCTTCCGCTGCGTTTTGCTGAACACGTGTCAGGAGGAGTTTGAACGCAATGTTAAGCTGAGACTGCAGGTGGGGTGCGGTGCGGTGGGATGGGGTGGGGTGCGGTGGGGTGTGGTGGGGTGTGGTGGGGTGTGGTGGGGTGTGGTGGGGTGTGGTGGGGTGTGGTGGGATGGGGTGGGGTGGGGTGGCAAATGGTTGCGGAATGCAGGTAGTGGCTCGAGGAACCCGTTCTTCTGGGCAGTGAGCACGTGTGAGTGTGAGGAGGAGTCTAAACTGCAAGAAGGACTTTTGATTTGAGGCGCCTCAAAAGTCTACTGGGCAGTGAGCACGTGTGCGAGTGAAGAGGGGTCTGACCTGCAGAAAGGAGACCCTTGCTGCTAAGCTGAGTGGGGTTGCAGGTAATCACATGACGAAACACCTGTGTGTTAATCTCCTCATGTCTCCCTTTCCCCTCCCCCTCGGCCTTGCCAGGCTGGCGAGTTGCTGGAATCATTGCAGGATGGAAGCACATGGAACGAGACGAGGGAGGAGAGGAGGGGAAAGGACATACAAGGAAAGGGAATTCAGAATCTGCCCCCGTCCGCGCCCTTTTTCCCGCTGCCTCTCTCTCTTCCTCGCTCTGTCCCGTGCCAGGCTGGCGAGTTGCTGGAATCACTGCAGGGAGGAAGCACGAAAGGAGACGAGGGAGGAGAGGAGGAGGGGGGAGAGAAGAGGAGAGAGGAGGGGGGAAAAGTTGACGGGAGAGTATGCGAGGGGGAAGAATGGGGAGGAGAGGCGAAGAGGGGAGGGGAGAGGGGAGAGGAGGAGGGGGGGAAGTTGACGGGGGAGTATGGGAGGGGGAAGGAGGGGGAGGAGAGCAGAAGAGGGGAGAGGAGAGGGGAGAGGAGGAGGGGGGAAAAGTTGACGGGAGAGAACGGGAGGGGGAAGAAGGGGGAGGAGTAGAGGAGAGGGGAGAAGGGGAGGGAGAAGGGAATGGGCAAAAAAGAGGGGAAGGAATAGGGGAGGGAGAAGGAGAAAGGGAAAGGGAGACAATTGCACAAAGGAAGTGCACGGTTCCTTGAATGAAGGAGAGAGAGGAGAAGCGGGCGAAGATGAGGGAACGGGGGAGGGGGATGAGGAGGGTGGGAGAGAGGGGGAGAAAGGTCCAAACGAGGATGATGAAAGGGAGAAGAGGGAGAAGGAGCAAGAGAGTGAGGAGGGGAGAGAGGAGGAGAAGGGGACGAGAGAGGAGGAGAAGGAGCAGCGCAGGGCCAAGGCACGGACAGTGGGCACCATTAGGCTGATTGGAGAGCTGTTTCTCCAGAGAATGGTTCCCGAGCCGGTGGTTCACGCGTGTGTGCTGGTATGTGGTTCGAATCTATGTGTGTTGTTGTGCAGGTGAGTGATTGCAGGTCTGAATGTAGGTGAGAGGATGCATGTGTGCAGGTGAGTGGACGGTTGTGAGCTGGTGAGTGGAGTGCTGAGATGATTCAGAATCTACTGGGGAACATTCGTCTGATAGGGGGAGCTGTTTCTTCACGCGTGTGTGGAGGTGAGTGGTTGTATGTGTGCAGTTTAGTGGATGCATGTGTGCAGGTTAGTGGATGCATGTGTGCAGGTTAGTGGATGCATGTGTGCAGGTGAGTGGTTGCATGTGTGCAGGTGAGTGTTGAGACGTATCACAATCTGCTGGGCATCGCACGGCAACATTGAGCGATCCTGCATCCAGAAGGGTTGTGGGCCATCCTTCCTTCGCAGCATCCCTCCTCCCTCCCGCGTGGAAGCTGTGTGTGTGCTGCTCGCTCACCACAGTGGTCGATCAGCCGCCATCCTTCCTTCGCAGCATCCCTCCCTCCCTCCCGCGTGGAAGCTCTGTGTGTGCTGCTCGCTCACCATAACAGAATAAGTTTGTTGACAGGCAAAAACGTCGTTTTCATGCTCGCCCCCTTTTCTTTTCCGTACATCCCTCTCTTTCCTCCTTACCTCCGTCCTCCCCTGTATGCCCGTCTTCCAGGAGCTATTAGGTGACCCTGCATCGGTCCCTCCTCCCTCCCACGTAGAAGCAGCGTGCGTGCTGCTCACGATAGCAGGGGGGGCGATGGTGAGAAGGGGGAGAGCGCCGCTGCTGCTCGAAGGATATCTCAGGCGTGTGGAGTGTTTGGCTAAGTACAAGGGGATTGAGATGGATCGGCTGGTAAATGCTTTGAGGGACACACTTGTGTCTGCAGCAAAAGCACAGCAGAAACAGCAGCAGCAGCACCAGCTCGCGCCAGCCAGCAGTGCCAAATTGAGCCAGCCAGCCCTCCAGCCCGAGCAATCCACCTGCCAGCCTGCGCCAGCCCGCGTGCCGCTCGCACCAGCCGCCCGCTGCCCGTGCCAGCTCGAGTCTGAGTCCGTCTTGCGCTTCGATGCGGAGGGTCATGCGATCGACTTCGCTTCATGGCTGCTCGAACTCAAGCTCTACCTTCGGAGCCAGCTTCAGCATGGCATCTCCCTGTACGACCACGCTTCGGGCGAGCTCCCAGCCCCCCCGCCACGTCCTTCTTATCTTGCTGCTGACGCCACACCGGCGCACAAGGAGGAGTGCCGCGCGGCTAGACTGGAGCGCACGCAGTGGGAGGCGCGCGACGCCGCTGCTCGCCTTGCTATTGGCCGTCACCTCCCGCAGGCCGAGCGAAAGCATTTCTGCCATGTGGAGACGGCGAAAGAATGTTTTGATGCTGTTATCGCTCGCTACTCCTCTCCCTCCTCTGCCTCCTTAGGTCGCCTGTTTCTGCCTTTCCTGTTTCCAGATCTCGCTGCTTTCTCCACCGTTGCTGATCTCGTTACCCATCTACGCTCGCTTGACGCTAGTTACCGTGCGGCTTGCTCCACTGAGGTCCTAGTTGTGCACCCGCCCCCCATGTATATCACCCTACACCTTCTCGCAACCCGCCTCCCTGACCGCCTCGCGCCTGCTCGCGACGCTTTACTCGCTGAGCACCCCACGAGTCTCACTATCGATCGCTTTGAGAAGCGACTCACTGAGACCGAGGCCCATCTACGCGCCTTAGCTTCTGCCTCTGGTACGGTGCTTCCTTCCGTGTTTGAGGGATGCGCCCCATCCTTCCTTGCTACCTCCCCTGCATCGGCTGTTGTTCCTGAGCCTCGTGCCTCAACGGAGGTTGCAGCGGTTGCTGCCTCGTGCCTCGCAGGTGAGCCTCGCGCCTCGACGGAGGTTGTAGCAGGTGCTGCCTCTGGTGGGCAGCGACGTCGCAGGGGTGGGCGCAGGCGTGGGGATGGTGGAGGAGGTGGAGGCGGTGGAAGTGTTGGTACGTCTGGGGGAGCAGAGGCTGGAGGAGGTCCTGAGTCTGGTGATACGGGAGGAGGAGGTGTTGGTACTAGTGGTGTGACAGTGACGCAGCAGCAGCAGCAGCAGCAGCAGCAGCAGCAGCAGCAGCAGCAGCAGCAGATTGAGCATTGGGCTTCACTAAAGCAGAGGAGACCTAGTGGTCCGGAGAGCGTCGGCCGCGGAGGCGGCCCTGACAGCTGCGCGGCACGTCGCCGCGACGTCGGGCCCTGCCAGTATCGACTTTTGACTGGTCCAAATGCTGGCACCGTCTGCGGGCGACATGACCACTCCGCTATGCGCTGCTTCCGCCGTCTCGACGATCTTTATCGCGCTCGCTTTTTGTCTCAGGTGGTCACCCCGGACTGGTTAGCGCTGCTGCAGCGTGGTTTGCCTTTGTTTAGTATGGACATGTCTGATGTTTTTTCTGTTTTGAATTCTGTTGACTATAGTGCTGCGGGATCTTTTTATTCGTGTGTACCTATACTAGGATCTTTAGCCCTCTCTGGTGTAGAATCTTCTAGCACATGTGCGTCCACTACTAGCGCGTCTGTCTCTCTTTCGCGCTCAACTCCGGCGCGTCTCAGGTGTTCCTTTCGCGACCACGACCACCCCTCGTTGCTTCCAGCTCATGTCGCTGTCGCTCCTGCGAAGGGTGTCCGCCATTGATTTTCCAAAGAAAAAAATTCAAAGGGAGCGCGAATGCAAACGTTTGCAACATGAATTGCTCCCGATTTGCGAAACTGCCCCACCTAATTTTAGCCTAGGCGAATTCCTCGACAGGCTGCGCGAGTTTCTGGGGTAACCACTAGAACTCTCGCCTGTCACCTCCATCCCAATGAAATAAGCCCCGAATGATAGAAATATTGCAATTCTCCCTTGCAGCCCGTGCAACTCCTGTGAACCGCATTGTCGCTTGCGTTCCGTTCCCTTGTGCCACGATTCGTTTCAAGCGATTGTTTGTTCTCTGATTGAGTTCGGCAGTGAAACGAGGAAGGAGAATCGATGCAAGATCGACGGCTGATAAACAGGCAAGGCCATTCGGAGGAAATCGACGGACGATAGCATCGTTGCGTCCCTGCGATTCTAGAAGCCGTCGATTCGCAGCAAGAACAGATCCTGACCATGGATCCTACCACGATCGTCAAGGCAGCGAATCCATGGGTGCCACGTGGACGCGTGGTGGATGAAAAGCAGAAAGTGCTGCGAACCGTGCAAGGGTACGTACAGCCGTTGGATTGTACCCGTTATAGGCTGGTGCGAACAATGGACATCAACCCGTCCCCCTTGCCCCCGTCCCACTTCCCCGTTCCCCTTTTCCCCCTTCCCTTCTTTCACCGTTCCCTGCCTCGCCGCCTCCATTCTTTCGCCCTTCCCCCTTCGCCCTGTCCCTCTGCAGCATTCTGAGCAAGCTCACACCTGAGATGTTCCCCTTTTCAGCAGTTTCTGACCGCGTTTGAGTCCACTTAAGATCTCCTCCCCTCCCCCCACCCCCATTTCCCCTTCCCCTGTCCCTCCGCAGCATTCTCAACAAGCTCACACCCGAAATGTTCGAACCGCTCTTCCAGCAGCTCCTGACAGCTGGCATCAACACACCTGAGATCCTCCAGGTGAATTCAACAGATGAAGTTCTTGCTTGTTTCCTCGATACAAGCAAACCTCGCTAAAGAAAATTCCTCCTCTCGTTCCCTATTTTTGTGAAAAAAAAAAAAAACAAACAAAACAAAAAAAAACCCCACCCCCACCCCCCACCCCCTCCCTCTCCCCCCTCCCCTTCCTCCCCCTCTCCCTCCCCCGCTTACTCTCTGTTTGAGTGCATAATTCACGAAATGTTAACCCCCCTCCCTCCCCTCCCCGCCCTGCTCTCCACGACCCCCCCCCCTCCCCCCTCTCCCCCCTCTCCCCCCCCTCTCCCCCGTCTCCCCCTCTCCCCCGTCTCCCCCGTCTCTCCCCCGTCTCCCCCCTCTCCCCCCTCTCCCCCGTCTCCCCCCTCTCCCCCTCTCCCCCCTCTCCCCCCCTCTCCCCCCTCTCCCCCCTCTCCCCCCTCTCTCAGGGAGTGATTTCATTAATTTTCACCAAGGCAGTGGACGAACCCACCTTCTGCCCGATGTACGCTGCCCTCTGCGAGAAACTTTCGCGAGCACTGCCCGAGTTTCCGCCGTCCAATGGGGCAGGAGGGAGCGAGCCGATCTCCTTCCGCCGCGTGCTGCTCAACACGTGTCAGGAGGAGTTTGAACGCGCGGCTAAGCAGAGGCTCCAGGTGGGGTGGGGTGGGGTGGGGTGGGGTGGGGTGGGGTGGTGTGCAGTGCGGTGGGGTGGGGTGGGGTGCGGTGGGGTGGGGTGGGGTGGGGGTGGGGGTGGGGTGGGGTGGGGGTGGGTATGGGTATTGTGGAATGTGAGTAGTGGCAAGGGAAGGGATTGCCTTCTTTATGCCTTCCTCCTCTTCACTTTCTCTCTCCTTCCCCCTCCCACTATGTCCTGCCAAGCTGGCGAGTTGCTGGAATCACTACAGGAAGGAAGCACGGAGGGGGACGAGGGGAGGAGGGAGGAGGACATAGAAGGAAAGGCATTAAATAATCCTTCCTCCTTAACAGCACCTTCAATGCTACATCCAATGAAGCACCTTCTCTCTCTTTATCTCTCTCTCCCTCTCTTCCTTGCGCTGCCCAGGCTGGCGAGTTGCTGGAATCACTACAGGAAGGAAGCATGGAGGGGGACGAGGGGAGGAGGGAGGAGGACATAGAAGGAAAGGCATTTAAAAGTCTTTCCTCCTTAACAGCACCTTCAATGCTACATCCAATGAAGCACCTTCTCTCTCTTTATCTCTCTCTCCCTCTCTTCCTTGCGCTGCCCAGGCTGGCGAGTTGCTGGAATCACTACAGGAAGGAAGCACGGAGGGGGACGAGGGGAGGAGGGAGGAGGACATAGAAGGAAAGGCAATTAAAAGTCTTTCCTCCGTAACAGCACC